AGGTTCTAAAGGTACAGTTCACGATAATTTTGGGTTATCCAGATTATGACGAAAAATGAAAGAGAAGGAGAATAGTGCGATGGAGGCGAAGGAAGCACGCGAATCGGGTGTTTCCGAAGTGATAAAAGGTTTCGAAAAATTCGTTCAAAAGGGTTAAACGAAAATGAGATCAAAAGATGAAAGAGAAACGGTGCTCGGGCGAGCTATACAATTTGAGTCATTGCGTACGTGTGGGTCCTGGCGCGAGCAGTTGTTCACAGTAAGCAAAGATGTAAAGTCAATACACTCGAAATCACTCACTTAACTTAACAAAACACGATTTACAGAAGAGCTACTCACCTTTTTCATCCTCATAAGGTAGAAATCTAAAAAAAAATGACCGCAGCAGCGTAAAAAATAACGGAATAGGAGTGAAACATCCCTTCACCACCCGGCGACCAGCTGATTGCTAAACGTATGGGTACTGTTGTGAATAACGCATAATGTATCGTCTAACACTCTTCGACATATCATCGGTTGATGGGCGTGGACATTGACCTCGATGAAGCTCGTATTATGCCTATTTTGCCCATCTATTAAGTTTTTCGTCCCAACAAGGTTCTTTGTGTTAGCTTTGGGGCCACTGGGTAATTTGAGGAGGAAGTCGTAGGAATCATTTTCATAGTGAACTGTGCCTTTAAGGTAACAACCAAGATTTTGAGCGCGACAAGACAATAAGTAAAAAAACGCGCGCACAGTCCTGTTACTATGAGCCTTTTCATGGTTCTCCTTGTAGAACAACTGCAAAAAAGTGCCTAGGATATCTAAAGATCCAGCTATAATCAGATAATGAGAGCCATTGTCAAACATAAGACAAATAGTAGGCATGGCGTCATTGTGCAAAATTGTGTAGATGGAGCATCATGGGGGTCAGAAGCTTGAAAGGCACAGTTCACGATAATTTCAAGGTACCCCTTTTTATTCGAAAAATGGAAATGTAGGTTGGAAATAGTTCATCGACAGTGGAGAAGGCGAAAAAATCCGCCGATTCCGAGGAATGATGGTTCCTTAAAAGCAGTGGCAATAGAGTTAGGACAAAATTACCATGACGGAAAAATCATGGAATGGGTATTAGGATGAGGTTCCTGTTGTTGCAATTCTACAAAGAATTGACTACATCAAGCCAGAACTGTATAGAACCACCTTCCACTGTCACTATGGGTCATGATCAGTTGTTTTGTCTAACTACAGTGGCTTTTTTCCGATTGGTGCAGCCTCTACAGTGCCGGTGAAACTCGCCCGAACATACACACGGGACAATCTTTGAGACTTTATAAAGCTCCATCTAGGTCGTTTTCAGGTATGGCAGCGCTACGCACGGCATACAGGGATCCTACAAATTCACGCTAGCGGAATATCTTAGAAGTCATTTTTATCGTTAACTGTGCCACTAAGAAGAAAAACACGTAAAAATTTGGTGATTTTCGCATTCATGTGTCTTAATATACTCACATCGACAGATGGTTGACGGGATGTGGCGTCGGCACCAGGACGCTGACGCCATGTCGGCGTCAGCCTATGACCGATATCCGCAGGTAATGCATTTAACGCCTACTTAAACTTCAAAATGAGGAAATGACCATGTTCCTTGTCCCGATTTACGTTCAAAATGGTGGTAAAATGAAGAATTTGGGAAGATACCATGAATACAAAACACATTCCTAGCTCTGTATATTGCTTTCCATTTGCCGAATCTAAGCCAAGGTTCACCAAACGCGAGAAACAGATTTAACCCGCTAAAAATTATCCGGTTCAAGAATTCTGCAGCATACCAGAACTATCGTCCGCTTTATATTAATTGCACCAACGAAACGATATTCCCCATGTCGGCATATTTCATTAAAATACCAGCTGGGCTGCGCACGCTAACGCGTGCAAGACATCATCAAGTGGTCCGTGTTGATGAGTGATATCAATATAGTATCAATTTACGCCCTATTCTGGAACATTTCCCCCACCCATGTTAACATTCGCCTACAGGGCATTTCACAATCCTCATCGCGTCTACGTGACTTTCTGCAGACGGACGCACAAAACGATATACAAACAGACACACAAAATTACCGCTTCAGATATAGGATGTTAGAAATCTGCTAAAATTTAATGATATTCCATTCGGGATGCACAAAAGCATGCATTCAGAAAAAATAAGCAAAAAGAAAGAACCAAAATGTAAGTACTATTAAGCAAACGATATGCGGAAATGTAATTTGGAAACGACGCGTTCATTTCGCGTCCATATCTGCGCTCTCTCACCGAGATAGTACCACGTCGACCTGTTCCTCATCCCCAACAACTTTTTTCCTCAAAATTACCCCATGCCCTTCTCTGATGCTCCTACTCCCTTGGAACTGGGCAAGAAATTTCCTACCAAGGTTCATAATCGTTCCTTTGCACCGCTTCCATCCTTATCTCCGCTTTATCCTTGGCAATGCTGATTTTCTGGTTACAGCATCCTTAAGAGAGCACTAATGATTAATCATGATACCCCACTAATATTATAACCATGTAAATCAAATTACAGGTGGAAAGCACGTCGGTGAACTGAAGAGACATCACCCAACTCAAAATTCTCCACTTTCCAAGACTTTGGGCTAAAATACCAGTAAGAAATATTGATTACGGGTACTATACTAACCTTTTTGGTTAGAAAATCAGACCATATTAGTGCAGGTTACAAAGATCTCACCGAGGAAGACATGAGAAACGTTGGGTTTTTCACGGAACCCTTAGTTAAATAATATAGATGAGTTTTATTACATATAAGTGAAGATTTTCTGTCTTTCAGGTAGCAATGGCTGCTTTCATAGTCCGCAATTTGGCCCGAGAGCGCGCGAGCGAGCGAGCGACGGGGGGGGGGGGGCTTGCCTCTTGTTTACAACTGAATCTTGGTCGATACCGCTGAACGAGTACTCCTCCGTCGTTCGCTCGCTCGCGCGCCTAATCGCGGACTATGAAAGCAGCCAATGCGTGCTGTGGCTCAATGGCGTAATGGCAAGTGGTGCACTCATCACACACACGGTCTGGGGATCGAATTCCAATCCATGCTGGCCTGCGTCAATCTTACCCTCCTTTCCTCCGGAGACGGTTAATTGTTTGGTAGGATAGATGAACTGACTTTTCCATTAGCTAACCACCGCAAGTCATTGTATTGGCCAAATAGACATTCAATATATCGCTACAATTCTGAATGCAGAAAGGGGCGCATTCCAGAAACGGACCAATTACTGCAGAGACATTATTGTTTCTCCTTTCTCACTTGAAATCGTGTTTCAAAGAGTCAATAGGGAATTTCATTTGCTATTCATCACAAGAAGGGAACGATGGCTTCACCCACCACGGAAAAACATAGTGGGTGCTTTTCTAGATGGAGAAAAATTCTCGAATTAATTCAGATCGTGTTGCCGTAACTGGCAGGAGGAATTGGTCTGATCTAAACTTCAGACTATTCTAATACTTTCCGAACTGCGACATGACGGTTGCAGCTTTGGACTTATCTATTCGAGTAAAGACGCAAGATTTAATGCCCGAGATTTTAAGTCATATCTACACAAAGGAGATGGGAAATACTAAGGAGCAGCACGGACACGAACATCCGTTCCGAAGATACCAAAGTTA